AAAAAACATGTGTCGAAATGAACGAACGTCCCCGCACGATTTAATCTGCTGTGAAAAATATGAGAACTCGATAGGATAGACGACCGATATAGAAGAAGACCGATATAGACGACAACACATCAATTATTACTTACTCTTTCACGGTTTATGACCTTTCTTTGTTAACCTTTCAAGTTACCTAAAAGGGTAATTAGGTGGATTATTAAAAAATCAATGCATAGATGCATCAAATATACTTAACTTCTTCCTCATTTCTTCTTTCTGTCTCTTTCTCTTACATTTTTTTCTTCTTTCTTCATGGAGTTATGTAAACAAAACTAAAGAAAGAAGTTCTCAATAACAAAGTTAAAGAATGCGAGGTCTTTAAGTCTTTTGCTCTTCTCTCGGCACCTCGTCTATATAACTACTCCCTCTATAAAGCTCTTACTCTGTAAAATATGGTATAAGTTTTAAGCCACCAAGCCAACCGCTAGTTACATCCTACCCTTTCTTTTCTACTCTTCCCACACCCCCATACAATTTCTCAACCTCTGACCTTTACTTTTCGAGTACAAAAACATTCCTACGAAAGAGCTAAAACCTAGGAGTTACTCGTTTCTAGTGCGTCGCATGGATTAGTCCTGTCGGATAATGCAGAAAGTAACAGTTGACTCGAAAATGTAAGATTTCGAGACAAAGGGATTCCCTCATGGATTAACAAGAATACTTGACGAAGGACGTGTATCACGGAAATGTTGCTGAGTTGGTTTGAAAATCCTGAACAACAGAATTTTCCTAATGGCGTAAGAAGAAAAACATTTGTTAACTGAAAATTGTATAACAGGACTCTAACTATTTTACCATTATTATATTTTAATCGAAAACACGTGTTAAATACTATTTGCATAAGTTACTTGTTAGAATATTACTGCTAATGATTATAATCGATTATAAATTAACAAATGGATCGTATCCTTTACGTTTAATCTAATTGTAAAAATCCAATTTAAAACATATGTACACAGACAACGGTAGAACAAATTTTATCTCACTCATTTCTGCATAAAAATTCACAATCAGTAAATAGGAAAAGCGTAACGATGGCGGATGGAATTTTTGTAAAATTTACGCTAAGCTAACTCGTTGGAATAGCAAATGTAGCTATTTCCGTATCCCGCAAATGGATCCTTTAATCAACAGGAACGAGCCAAGTTCGTAGAATTTCATGAAAAATCTGATTGGTAGCGGTGCGATTGTTTGTGAGAGTTCAAGTTAGCTGTGTTAGTGGAGATATAAAAAATCCAATCGCTGCTTGGAAGCGCCAGGTGTTTGCCTAACGAAAAGCATCGTGCTTCTCGCGAAGAAAAAAAAGAAAAAAAAACAGGACAAAAAAGTAAGAATGTAATTGCCGAAGGTTTTCGTCAAATAAAGGAAAAAGAAGAAAAAAAAAACAAGGAAAAAAATTAAAATTACAAACTTCATCTAGAGAATAAGGAAAGAATCGAGTTTAATTAAAGGCAAAACATCTCTCGGCGTTATGATGCTAATGTAAATTAATGTAAAGAGTAGTATTAATCGAGAAGCCCTAAGCTATCATAGGTTATTACTATAGCTTCATCGAGAGACGTTTCTGCAACGGTCAGTAGACGAATTTTGGAAAATTCACACGGCCGATTCCCTGAGGGAATTGTAAATTCCCGGACAGCTACTTCGGTTCCGTTACGAGTGGGCGTAGCTCAACGTTCATCTCTCTTCTCATTCTCATTTCCTCATCCTCCCTCTTTCCCTCTACCCCTCTTTGCCGTACACACTAGCTTGCATTAGTTCACGCGCAAACGTTCACGCAAACGTTCACGCAAACGCTCACGCAGTCGCGGCGAACGTTCGTGCGTTATGGGAACGTGCAAAGAACTAATGTGGTGGTGGTGGTGGTGGTGATAGTAGTGGTTGTAGGAAGGCCGGGTGGGGGAAGGGTGGTTAGAGATAGAGAGAGGGTGCTTCAACACTGTGGTTTTCCATGGTGGCTATTCTATGAAATATTCAACACGGCCGCGGGCTACGTCGTCATAGCTTTTGTAGGAACGGAAAGCCAACGACGGCGACGAGGCTTCGTTCCCAACCAGACGGATGCATTATTTTTCTTCCTTTCTCGTCCCTCCTACGGTCAACAGCCCCCTAACGCGGTAGCCCTATCCTGTAGTCCGATATATTGAAAAACGATGTCCCTTTTCTAACTTCCGCGATAGCAAATCTTTTTTTTTCCATTTCCTCCTTCCTTTCAAGATAGAAAGAAAGGTCTGCCAAAGGTATAAAGAAAAAGAAAAAGAAAAAGATAAAGAAATAAAAACTAAAATAGAAAAAAATTGATCGTTGTAAATTGATTGCACGAAGTATATTATTAAAAACCGATTGCTATTGAACGTCGTCCAATTTGTCTAATAAAAGTTCGAAGAAAAGCAATTGGAAATTATTGATGCTCGAATATTGGGGTCTTGTATCTTGTAGATACCTCAAGGAGAGGAAAGGCGTAGAAGAGGAAGAAGGTCTACGTAAAGACCTTTTTCAACCTGAAATCATTTTAATGAGATAGTCTTTTGGAGTAGCAGTCTCGTCAGGAGGAGAAGGAGAAAAGTCAGAAGAAGAAAGGAATGTCAGGGGTAAGGGAAATAGAAAGCATTATGCAGCAAGCAGACAAGCTCGGGCCTCCAGCCAAATAAGTAAAAGACTAATGACAAAAAGTCGAATTAAAATAAGAATCGCGTCGAGTGGCAAGGACACCTCAAGGATTTTCGAGGACCAACGACCGGAGCCAAGTACTCCCAATAAATTAAACCCCTTCCTTCTCTAGCGTGCAGAACGTTCTATCGATCTTCTTCTTCCACGACGTAACATCTTCGAATTTTCCCCTTGTTGTTGTCTTTACCTTTTAAGTATCTTCCAACCATAAATTCGTATCATTGACTTCATTTTCTCCTAGATAAATTGAAATTCTCTTATACGTAAAATATAAGTTGCATTGAGTGGAACAAAAGATAAGTGGATTTATCCATGACAATAAGCGTGGTAACATTTTAACAGATTCTCCATTTCGAAATAATGCAATTTCATATACGAACGTGCGCGTCATTCGATCTAAATCCAAATTGTTCTCTGATACCCCACATTATACGGAAAATCGTTCTCATGATATTCCAATCATTTTCATTCTTACAATGTCCCGATTCATATCAGATTTAATTAAACTTGGTAATAATAGTATGCTTGAGCGAAATAATCCGTTTTTCGCAACAATAAAATCCACATAATAAGTCGTATTTGACTTTCGGACTATTTTACGAGATTTCGACTTTTACCTTTTTTTTCCGAGTCAACAAGAAAGGATCTCCGATAACAGCTTTGACAAAAGAGATCTTTTCTATATAGGTACTCTCGAAGGTCGGAAAAGGGAGAAGAAGGGTACCCTTTGCATCGTTAGACCAGGATCGTATAACTCATTTAACGTTAAAGGTGCGGCGGTTGGTCCATCGATAAAATCGTTTTAAATCGACTCGTCGGACACCGACGTCTCGACGAGTTATCTTTTATCTCACGACAGTTGCCCTTCAGATCCATTTGGCATAGAGCCACGTTTCTTCCTGCCCTTCCCGAAGGGTCGCTTACTTTTGTCCGATACTGGGTGGCCAAGAACGAGTAATTATCTTCATCAAGGCTACCTACTTTTATAATACGATATCTCTTCTCATTTGATATGTTCTCATTAATATCAGTATCTTATATTGTGGATATATAATAATAAAATATATTATTACTTTCAAATTGTATACTATTTGTTAGAAAAAGAAACGGAAAAGAATAGAAGTTGGATTTAATCGATCGTCTTCTCGATCGAAACTTAGGAATGGCACATGGACGAGAACGTAATTATTCGGACACCCTATATAGATGAAAGAGAGTCTCCCGTTATCGGAATTATTGGATTCTGGGCATCCTTTGAAAGCTTGTCTGAAAATGCTGGATGGGATAAATGCGGCGGAGGCTGTCAGAAAAGTAGGAATTCCCTCGAGGTAATGTTGCTGCCGGCGAAGGGATGAGGAAATGGCAGAGGGGTGGAGAGAAGAGCGGATGTGTTGAGGAACGAATGGACGAGAGGAAGAAGAGAGGATAGATCGTTGGTGCCAGCCTTGAGAGCGCCTCCATAGATCATAGGAAGTCGTTTTGAATAATTTATCGATCATGCCGACGTACCTGTCTTTTCACAGTCGAAAGCACCATGATCTCAATCAATGAACATCGACTATCTACATACACACATGATATTTCGAGAAAATTCAACTTGGCCTTGATTTTGCAACCACGGCCAACAAATTTAGCCTTTGATTTCTTAGTTGTTTTATCTTCAACTAAAAAAGAAGAAAAAATAAATGTTGCTATAATTTAACGATTTACGAGATAATATTGTTGTTTTTTTTTTCTTTTTTTGTCGAAACGTTTAATGAAAGCTAATGCGGCAAAGCTAAGACAAGACAGATAAGACACAATTACATTTTCGTCTAGCCTTGTAAGGAGACATCCTTTGGGACTAGTCACGACTCACTGCCGCCGGTAATAACGTCGTGCCTTTTGTCCTCTCTTATTACCACCTCACTTCCGTTCTCCAAATCTCTCGTGATGATTATTAAGGTAACACGAACTCTTCGTTTTCAGACACGTTCTCGCGATTCTCCCTCGTCTCTCTTATCTTAATTCAGAAAGTTTCCCTTTGGCGAATATATTCCCGTTTCCAAAGCAGTCCCTTCAACTAGAACATCAGGAATAATCTATCTTATTCCCCATTTGATATTTTATCGTTACTCGTTACTCGTTACTCGTGCACAATCTTCTATTGTCGATATTAATATTGTTTATAAATCTAATTTTTTTTACACATATTACTCTATACAAAAATATATAATTCTTCATTTCTATTATATTATAAAGTAATACGTTATAATAATAATAATATTAAATAACGTTGAGAGACAGGTTTCGTATATAATGTTACAGAAATATCATGACATAGGTTACTTTTTAAAAAATGCGCACAAATGTGGATATTCATATAATTAATTATTTAACGTGGGACCACGATGTTACAAGGTCCGCTCCTGAACGCTTGTACTCGCCGCTACGAAACACAGTAAGAACTAAGGTGGGGAGTTTACAGTCATCGTTGTTTCTCACACTAACCAACGCCCTATGAATGACGTCAGATACGTATAGTGTGCATACGATCGTCGTAACGTGTATACCGCGTCTCCTTTGAGGAAATCGACAAATCCTCGCTCGTGACGCGTTAAAATGTCGATCGATAAAAAGATCGTAAGCATAGTTTGTACAGTGTTACTATTCGCGACGATAGGTAAGAATAAAGTCATCGCTAATTTATAATATTGTGAGTGAATCGTGATGTTATTCACGAATAATGGCCGTTCGTGAATGTCGAGCCATCTCCATGTTGGAAAACAGCAGCGCTCCGCGTTGTTTTTCTTTAGAATTTTTTTCATCTACAAAAAATATACATTCATAATTTTTTTTAATTATATATAATTAATTATCCTAATTAATGTATTGACATTTCTAACAAGCTCATATATATATATATACATATATATACACACATTCTAATTCTTCTACTTAATAACTCATTAATAACCAATTAAGAATCTTTATAAAATTAGAAAAGATATATATATATATATATCTGAAGTGCTTGCATTTTAAACTAATCGAAGAAAACGTTTTGACCTGTTGAATCGTAAAATCTCTGAATGAAATAAAAATAAAGAAAGTTCTATTAGTATTGAAAAATATTTTTTGCGATTAGGATGCGAAGCTATTCGGTGTTATCAATGCAGCAGTGATACTGATCCAGAAGGCGAAGATCTTTGTGGGGCTTATGGAAAATTTGATAAAGAGAGAAACATTCCGGTAGAATGTAGCAGCGATGAATCTCATACGATTGGCACATTTTGCGTCAAATTGACGCAACAAAGTCCTCGTGGTTTCATATGTGAGTATTAATATTCCATTGATATTCCTTGAAATTGTTTGAAATCACAGTTATCGAAGCGTATAAATTTTGTTCTTAAAATATATTTTAAAAATTAATATTAAACATGCTTTATTAGACTTTTTAACTAAATGAACTTACGTTAGAGGAAATTAAATTTACATACCAAATTCACATTTGAATTTTTGCTGTATTATTTTCACTGGTTCACGACGTTTTACTCCTATGTTTACCCATTTATCATTCTTAAAGGGAACGGTAGATGGCGGCAAGTGATACGAAGGTGTGCATCTGTTTCCAGTACCGGAGTTACAGGTGTCTGTAATTGGGGGGTCTACGAGAATGGAGTCTATTGGCAAGAATGTTCTTGCTCCGAAGATTCTTGTAACGGAGCATCTTCAATTTCTTCACTTTCTACGATAATCTTTGTTACCTTAAGCGTTCTTCTTTCGATCTTATTTACAAGATAAATTAAAGTAGCGCGGGTCTACTGAAAGAAAAATATTTAATCTCGTTAGCAACGAAAATCCGTCCGCAATGATAATATTGTTTACAAAGTATAGAAATATTTTAGATTGATAAGTAACGAAAAATCCGTCCGCAATTATAATACTGTTTACAAAGTATAGAAATATTATAGATCGATAAGATTACTCGTTAGAGAATTTTAGTCTTGAACGAGGCAAATTTTGTAAAACCAAGACTTATTGATATATATATACATATATTATTTTTATATAGATATATATCTTTCATTTTTATATTTTTATGTAAAGAATTTAGAAAAAAAAAAAGAAAGAAGATGGAAATAAAGTAGATTAGAAATCTACGTCTTCTTCGTGTTAGTTTGTACATAAGATTAAATTTCGTTAATGACATTTTCTTAGAGATATATATATATGAAGCGTTTTGCAATTAACTTTTATTACAATAAATTCTTTCGTCCTTATTAACGTCACATTTAAGTTTAATAATACTAATAATAGACGGTCGAAGATCATATTCTATTTAAAGGATTGATTTAATCGAAAAACGATTCAGCTAGATGATTGTCCCTGATAATTAGTATCAAGAGACAAAAGCACGTAATTAGTACAAAACGTATTAGTAGCTACGATCAGCATAAGATCGATAGACGAAAATTCGATTAGCTGATCGCGCTAGTAAACACGTAGTTACACCAAAATATCAACAATATTTATGTCATCTGTAGCAGCTGCTGCTTCAATTAATTTTTCGTAAAAAGTAGCAATCGAGAGAAATAAATATTAGTCAATATCTCTTGAAAGACTTGTCTCATGCCTATACATACAATATACTACCTGCATACAATATGCGTTTACGCATACATAAATAAATACACATTTATCTTTAAAATGATCTTTGTTCATAGAATAAATTTATGTGAGATATTAAATCGTCATTTTGTTGAAACTAATAAATACAAAATATTTATACCATTTACCACATGCTCGTATTTTCGTATCTTTTGTAAAACGTTCACGTGTAGTCCATAAGGCTTAAGTCTTCCATTGTTATACCGTTAGGATCAACCTGGATAACATCGATCAGTATTTCGAGCGACAGGTGGCCGTACGAATCCTACTTGATTCATAATCGCTAGTGAAATTTTCGATCTTCTGAAACAAAACAACGGAGTTAGATAAAGGTAGATTTAGAGAGAAAGAGAGCATGCACACCCTCTTCGCCACAGTATACATCACGTTATAACGCCGGAAATTCGGTGGTCGCGAGTTAATTACGTCACGTGAGACTATTAATGCCTTGGCAGATCCAACAACGCGGTACATACAATGGCACGGCTGTGTTTAGGTTCTCTTACTCATATATTAACGTCGCGACCCATGCCAACCCTCGTTACTTGAGACGTTATAATTAAGACCGTCCGCTTCGACCATCTCGAATGTAACGATTTGCAACTTTGGTATTTGACTTTGTTCCTACAAGCGTTTCCATCTGTCCATTAGAAATTAACGATTACTCTCGAGAACGAGACGTTATTTTGAATGAAACAATTAATTAATATGACTAATATGACAATTCGTTATAATAGTTTCATTTGAAAGATCAAATACTTATTACAATAATCATCTGAAGTCATTAGCAAAGTTCTAAGCGAAGAAAGACGAAGGGGTAAAGGATAGTCCATCGGTGATTTTCATTGGGTCGACCTTAGTGCACTTAATTTTCGGAATAAGAGTCTCTCCATCTGCATTTAGGTCGTTATTACATCAAGGCGCGCTTAATTAGCTCTCGCAAGGCGGAAAGTGTTGCGCGCTTGGGCGTCTGCTCGCAACTCCGTAATAATATAACCTCGTATCTTCATAATGCGGAAAACACTTTTCAACGTGGCTGGCGCACAAGTGAACACCTATATACGAAAAGGGGGAATCCTTCGTCGTTTAAATACCACACCGGGTGTGTTCCTCTTAAATCATTCCTTTAAGAACCTTCTTTAATCTGCGAAAAGAGTAGAACGTTACTAATAACAATCGTGGTTGCTTATCAGTGGATACAATGTTAAGGAAAATTAGAATTACCTTTTTTTATTTGTAGACTTATTATAAATTTCATAGATACATCAAAAGATTGCATCAGATTTTGTGGTGAATCATCATCAAGTTAAAAATTCAAACGAACAAATTCATATATTTGAATAATAATATATAGATTCGTATAATTAATCAAATAAAAATATTTATAAAAAATATATAAATTCGTATAATTAATTAAATCTTTATGGAACTAATAGAGAAATCTGTAGAGAATCACAATTTAAATGATTATTTTATTTATTCCATTTAACTATATATTCATATTAAATTGTATAATTGTAATGCTTTGATTTTACCTGTAATCATTTTCTCCAACAATTCTATCTAAAAAAAAAAAAAGAAAAAAGAGAAAAATAGCAAAAGAGTTAAATTTATTCCAGCATTTCGTATAAGGGATTTTTAAATATTTAACGATCATCATTCTGATAAACCTTACAGAGTAAAAATATTATTAAATAAAAGAAGAATATAATTATTGTTTTCTATTCGTCACCTAGGATATTATTTAAACGAACGAACCAATAGAATTCGTTTCATTATTTTTATATTAGATTGGCAAGTCTGAACGTCGTATTAAAATTCTTTAAAGTTTAGTACAAATCAGAGCGTTTGAATGGCGCACAATTTCCCGCGTAATTCCTGTTCCTCTCTCTTCTCGTTCATCCATTTTCCTTCCTTCTCTTACTTGCTCTTTCTCTCTCTTCCTCATTACTTCAATGTTCCGTCCGTTCCTTCTATTTGACCTAGTCGAAAAGTGCTAAAGAATAGTGTTTTCACGAATAATCGTAGAGGTTAGGATTCACACACGCGGTTAAATGTGTTTCTTATCACTTTTAAGAATTGTAAAGTAAATTCTTTTGATATTAAATCGTGAGAAAAATGAATGTAACAGATGGACCGGGATTTTCTCGTTATGAGATTTTGTTGCTAGCCGCAAGACTTTCCTTCGTAACTGCGGTGGGGTTTTTCACAATGAAATGGTTCGTCCATCAACTTGATCCTACGAATGCAGCTAAGAAAAAAGCTAAAAAAAAAGTAAGTACTTCTTTTTTTATACATTTACACGATAAAAGTATTTCCTATTTTATTATTTTCGATTTGCTGTACATGGATATAAATCTAACCTATATCATCTAAGATACAAATATATAATAAAACTTGACTGCTTTCGTTTATTACTCAGACTCGAGAACAATTGCGTAAGCTTGCAAAGTCAGATGGTGTTATATTATCCGTCGATATGGATCAGTTAACAGATTATGAAATCATAATTGCTAGTCATTTAGTCGATCCTCAAGACATCAAAGTATCATGGGAGAATATAGCTGGATTAGAACATGTTATTCAAGAACTTAAAGAGACAGTTATACTTCCTATACAGAAGAAAGAGCTCTTTTTAGATTCTCAATTGACACAAGCTCCAAAGGTTTGTAAAAATAATGCACCATCTCAGCAATATTAGTAACTCACTCAATCATGTCTCATAAATGTCTCTTTCATTCAGGGGGTCTTGCTACATGGACCACCAGGCTGTGGCAAAACTATGATCGCAAAAGCTACTGCCAAAGAAACTAGAACTCGTTTCATTAATTTGGATGTTAGTATTCTTACCGATAAATGGTATGGAGAAAGTCAAAAATTGACTTCTGCTGTATTTTCTTTGGCTGTGAAACTTCAACCATGCATCATCTTTATCGACGAAATAGGTTAATTGAATGAACATTAGAATTTTGTGTGACTGCGCATTGATATCTTACTTGGATGTATTATGTATGTTTCGTTATCTTCGACTTCATCAGATTCCTTTTTGAGAGCACGCAATTCACAAGATCATGAAGCAACGGCTATGATGAAAGCGCAGTTTATGTCAATGTGGGACGGTCTAATAACAGATCCATCTTGTACCGTCATCATAATGGGAGCGACAAATAGACCTCAAGATTTAGACCGAGCTATTCTTAGGCGTATGCCTGCTACATTTTACATAGGATTACCTGTAATACATAAATTGTATATTATCTTTTGATACGTCTATTTGATACTAACATTAATATGTTTCATTGCTATAGAACGAAGAACAGAGAGTAGAAGTCCTAAAGTTAATTTTACAGCATGAACCGATTGCAGACAACGTAGATATTAAAAAGATAGCTAAAATATCAGATGGTTTTTCTGGCTCAGATTTGCAAGAACTATGTAGAAATGCATCTATATACCGTGTCAGAGATTATCTACGAACACATACGTAGTAAGTATTGGCCTTGTACAGCTTGAAAAAATGTTTTCTTTGAAGAACTTGAAATATTTGAATCTTTTCATATTGTAGCGATCTAAACGAAACATGTACTAGTGCTAGTACAGACGAAGAAGAATTCCATGATACCGTACGTCCTATAATGATGGAAGATCTTCTTGCATCCCATAAAAAATTAAAGGCATCTAAAATGCATACAGGAACTTTAAATCCTGTTAAGTTAGATTTAGATTAAATACAAGAGGATCGAGATTGTTGGCATGTATAAAATTAACTAATTTTTATTTAATAAGTCAAATTACGTTTAATTAAACAAAGATTTTGTTTAAACACTTTTATAATTGCGCTCTATCTTTTTACGGTTGGTTAAAATACCTGCAAATTTTATGATATATCATTAACATCAAATTGCAATTGTTGCGATATGTGCACTTTATGAAAATTTTATTTTATTTTGTTTATTTACTTTTCTTTTTTTTTTTTTTTTTTTTATGAAACCACAGAAAGAATCATTGGACTTTCTCGAAAAATGAAGTGTGTTCAAAATATTAAATCATCTTCCATATGTATATTTAAACTACCGAATTACATTTACATAACATCTTCCAATCATTCTATTATTGTTTTCAGAGTTTGCATAATAGTGATGAAAAAATGTATTCGCATATGGAAATTTGATCATTAGAAGTATAAAAATATTTATTGGTCGTTGAGGAAGGTGTACTTTTCGTGAACTTTGAATTACATAATTCATAAAATCAGACATCTTGTATCATAAATGGCAACATAAAACTGTTCTGAGTCCTATTAATATATAACTAAATATGTAACTAAAAAAAAAAGGCAAAAACATGTATGTATCCATTGTATAGAATTAATTGTGTTTTTAAGATAGAGAAAGAGGGGGGGAGAGAGAGAGAGAACAGTAATATATTATCTAATAATATAATCTCACTAAAAATACATAAATGAAACTTAAGATAACTACTTTTCCTTTTAATTTAAATGTTGTTGCATCTTGGACAAATCCAGATTTAAGTATTTTCTTTTCTATAATCTATTATTTTATGAGATTACACTATCGTTATATTTAAAATTAAAATGACATTTAGGTAAAGTAAAATCATAGTACAATGAAAAAGAACAAAGTAATATTATCATATATATAATATATGTGTATGGATGAATTATGCATGTATGTATGTATGTTAGTACATACAGTGTGAGAAAAAAATCACTTCTTCTAAAATAACTTTAAACTATTTATTTTTACATTGCAACATAAAAATTTATTTTTCCCTAGTTAATTTACAATTCGTTTTTTGAACAATTAAATGCAAAATGCACGATAACAAAAATATTGAATATTTAACAGCAATACTGTTGCCTTAGTAACCGTAATTACTAAGATGCGGGCTTTTGTTTCACCCTGTGAATATATATGATAATATTACTTTCGTGGAATTATATTTTACGCAAAGTTTATGTTTACGTAGTTAAAAAGGAAAAGAGATTTTATTTATAATATTATATTTGAAATTGATCGATCTTATATTAATATGTCTTAATAGAATGTATGCGTAATCTAAGAAAGTTTTGTCGATTTAGGAACATTGATAGTTAAGTTTCAATATCTGATACGTCAGTGAAAAGGTTTATCTATTCAAATTTGCAGACATTTTAAGAAAAAGAACTTTCAAATATAGCACAAATTCCAGTGTTTTCATATCGAAACAAAATACGAAATAAACTAATATTATCTTTAATATAACTATAATATAATAGACAGGGCTTTGTTTTCGAATTACTGCAAAAGTTAAATGTACGTAAATAAAAGGAAGACATTTTTTTATATTTTGGTGTTCAATTGTAAATCCATAATTGTAAAATGTAATTCCTAAAACGAATTTAAATTATAAGCGGAAAATTTGTACAAAAAATTTAATGCGTAATAGTATTTGAATTTGAAATTAGCGGTTTGACGTTTATTGGTCAGCGCAACGCATATCGATTATAACCCGCCAATGATCGAAAGAGAAAGGATTGGGTTGCGAGCGTATGAAGATTCGCGGATGATATCAAAAAGAGTTGGGCTGATTGGTCGGCGAGAAGAAAATGAAACGCATGCGCGCAAAGTGAGACGGTCGAGCGCCCTACCATCGTTCGGTGAGAATTTCCAGGAACGAAACTCGCCGAGAAAGAAAGATAGAGAGAGAGAAAGCAAGCCAGGACAAAGCCTCTACCCTCCCTTGTAATGCCGCGGTGTAAGCGGTCTATCGACATCATTCATTCTCCTCCGTACGACAAACGACTGTGGTGCATGCACACGACATGGACGCGTCATCGTGAATGGCGCCGGTGGTGAAAAGTTTCGCTGTGCGAGTTTTATCAATCGTAATTACGTTTAACAGTCGCCTATGGAAGAAGCAGTATTTGAGATGGACGCTTACGAGGAGTAACACAACTTCCGTTCGCTAATTAACTCTGCCTTTTCGCTCCTTTTTTTCTTTTTCCTTCGTCCTTTTTTTTTGATTTCTTTTTCTGGTTCTCTTTCTTTTGGTTTTTCCGTTTCCTCCCCTCTCTTCTCCTTAGTAGCGGTTACTACACATACGAAGCATCTCGATACTACATATACATATTTCACGCTCGTGGATTAGGAGTGGACGATCGAGAGGCTAAAGGAACACGGAGGAAAGCAAAAGAAGGAAAAAAAAGAAAGAAAAGAAAAAGAAATGCGCTCCGAAGTAGAGAGATGAGCGTGGAGAACGGTTAAGATTCCAGTATGAGTGTCCGTAAAAGCGGACGACGAATATCGACGAGACTCGCTCAGTTTTAAAGTGGACAGAGACAGCCGTGCGCTGCAACACACCTGCACGGTGTGCACGCTCCGATGCGTTGTTGGTGAGTGTGTGCGTCTACTGTCTTTCTCTTTCTCTTATTCTATCTATATCTATCTATCTATCTACCTATCTATCTACCTATCTATCTACTATATATCATCTATCTGTCTGTCTCCCTTCCACGGCAGGCGCGTGTGTGCGCGGTTGGCTGCTGCGTACGCGTGCGTGTCCCCTCTCATCGCAAATCCCGCTATATTCGGTGTGTATAGGTGCACGCGTGAAGAAGAGCTCACGTACGTTGACATGAGTACACTGGTGTCAGCATCTTCTTCGTAACGTAGTAAAGCGAACAAACGTGTTTATATATTGTTGTATCCTCTCTACGAGAGATAAACGTATGTATATGTGTCGCAGCGTTGTATACGTGTGTCACTACTCTCCAGTAGTAACCACCACCATTCACCACCGTGATCCTACCGTGTATGTAGTGTGCGCAACCGCCGCGCGCGACCAACACGCATGTACGCGCGCGTTTGCCAATACGTATAGTTACATATGTATATATGTGAAATGAATATGTGTGCCTTGGACGCGAGTAAGCGTCCTGTATCGTACGTGCAGTACAGCAAGCAAGTGTTCCGATTCTGACACGATGACACGATCGTGCTGGGAAAACGTGGGACGATAGTAAATACGTGCGCCCGCCGCGAGTGCTTACACACAGAGACACGCTCTATCCTAAGATCCTCTTATCTTCTTCTATACTTTACCGTTCTTTTTTCTTCTACGAGTTTAAGGGCCAACTCTTGTCCGTAACACACGGATTTCGAATTAGATGTCTGCTGCTGCTACTGTATTTTTTTCTTGCAAGACACACCGTGATCTCTCGCGTTGGAGAACGAATTAATAGAAAGAGAGAGAGAGAGAGAGAGAAAAAGAGAAATAAATAAAGAAAGGAAGGAAGAAAGAAAGAGATAGAGCGCGCTTGTGTGCGTGCGTGCGAGCGAGCTTGTTGCGAGAGAAAAAGAAAAAGAAAGAGTGAGAGAGTGGAAAAAGAGAGGGAGAGAAAGAAAGAGTAAGTGAGAGAGCGATAGCGTGCGAGAGAGAAAGAGAGAGAGAGAGAAGTGGATATCGATGAACATGGTTCGAACGTTTCTGGCCGGTTTTTCAACGGGCACGAAAGATCGCGGATCTTTCGATACGAGAGTCGTGTCTCTTTCGTGTAAAGTTTGTTGAATTTTATGAAAGGAATATGTGATAAGACCACACTTCGTCTAAAAGACGAGAAAGCTCGAATGATGTGCCAGTGAAACTGGCGTTAAAAAACGTATCGTCCGTCGAAGATGCTCTCCGGCATTGCAAATGGTGCTTAACCTAACCTTTCGTTCGTTCTACGTTCGTCGTCACGGTTTTTCTCATTTTGGAGCGCGTTCTTTCGAGATCATCCTTCGGAAACTTGAAATTGGAGAGAGAATCTATTAGACCGAAATCAAACTTCTATTTTGCATTCTTTATTGTACGATAAATTTTTCTTATTTATCGAAGTACATCGATTTTTTGTCATCTCCTCGATATATAAAGTCGATCGTGCGATTACGATTCTAGTTTCCTTTTTTTTTTTGGTTTCCTCTCTTACTCCATAATTTTGTCCTCATAATTATTACATTTTTTATCGTAAAAAAGATCGAATTTTTATCTCCAATTGTTTGTTGATGATCTCACTACTATACAGAGAAAATGCTTTCTTTAATTTTTTGGAGCAGCACGTGCATTGATATTTAAATTAAAAGCTGATTTTTGCTATATGATAAACTTTCAAGAGAAAAAAATTTGCATCTGTGTCATAGCTACATATTATTTCTTTTTTATCTACTCGATTGATTGATCATTCCAAAAGAAAGTTATTGTACCGCTGTGTTTGTCCTTTGACAGTATTTGTGATAGTCATTTGTGTCAATGTTGGTGGTGTAAGCGCTAAATGGGAATACAAGTCAGAGATTTGGAGCACTAGGTTTTTCTCCTTTATTTGAGAACCACCAATTCAGTGGTGATTATGAAATCTTTGATTTTGGAGTAGAACAAGTAGTGTATCTTTATGGTTTGTGTGTTGTGCAACATTGTTCCGTTAAACAAAGCTCTAATTTTTGTGTAAGCTGATCTTTGATACTTGTGTCGAATTGTTGATGGTGGTGGTGGTTATATAGTGATGTTACAAAGCAAATTGTGATAGAGCTGTCGAATGTTATGGAGAGAAGATAGACAGAGTCTCCATGAATTGAATAATAAAAGGAACACATGATCTGAGAATTGATGGGTATATGCTTTTCCTGCAGGAGACCTACTAGCAGCAGGTTGAACAGTAAGATCTCTGAGCACATTTCGGCTTCTGTAACTCCGCTCCATGTTTGTCTGGAGGAACAAAGAGGACCAGAACTGGGCTTATGTGACGCCTCAGCTCACAAGCCACAGGTACATTTTTTTATACTCGTTATAGTATTCATTATGAGAATGATTTTTATTAGATTTATTATTTTAAACAGGTCGAAAAGGTATCTGAAAATTACAAAGCACAAGAAGAGGCTGCTGCAGAGGAAAAATCGGAGATTGGACTAGCAATTGATATCGAGGAGGTGGAGCTAAACCCACCTAGCATGGCCAATAGTATTAGTAATATGAAAATGACTAACCCCATAAAGGGGCTTGTCAGCAAACGTCGTAAACGTTTCAAAGAAGATGGCTTTGATCTTGATCTCACATGTAACCTTTTCAATATATCATTTATTTATACCATTATTGATATATAAATGTTCATTGTATGTATGTTTGAAATTCATTATTATATTTTCTTAACTTTATTGTAAATTCGTTTACAATAGATATACAAGATAATTTAATAGCTATGGGGTTTCCTGCTGAAAAATTGGAAGGAGTATACAGAAATCATATTGATGACGTCGTCAAGCTGCTAGAATCTAAACATAAAGATCATTATAAAATTTATAACTTGTACGTATTATATTTTCATTTGATTTCATTTTCTTCTATTCAATAAAACATATCAATTGTTTTCAATTCTAGATGTTCCGAGAGGTCCTACGATTTCAACAAGTTTAAGCAAAGAGTTGCTACATACGCTTTTGAGGATCACAATCCACCAAGGTTGGAACAAATCAAGCCATTCTGCGAAGACGTACATAAGTGGCTTTCTTTGCATAAAGAAAATGTAGCAGTAGTACACTGTAAAGCAGGTAAAGGACGGACTGGCGTTATGGTATGCTGCTACCTTCTTCACAGCAAACAGTTTCCCACTGCCTCGGAAGCTCTTAACTATTATGGTACCAAAAGAACACACGATAGGTAGGTTTTTAATTTACCGTTTCACTGTGCACTTATAATATTATTTTTCTTTAATAATGGTGATATATAATATCATATTTTATAATTAGGAAAGGAGTAACAATACCTTCTCAAATTAGGTACGTGGGTTATTATGCTACTCTCGTTCAAGAGAGTCTAGATTATCAGCCAATTACATTAATTCTACGGAAAATTCAATTGGATCCAGTTCCCATTTTTAACGGGGGCCAAGGCTGTAAGAATATATATATATATATATTTATATAATATATATAGTAATCATTTTCATATTATTCTTTTTAACTTGAAAATAAAATAATATATGCTAATCTATAATTTTAACGTTTCATAGATCTGCATTTTGTAATATCTGATTCGAATAAGAAGCTATTTGCCTCAGAAGTTCATGAGGTACGAAAAGGAATGCAGTCTATAAGTATTCCATTACAAACTCATCTGTCTCTAACAGGAGATATTCGAGTGGACTTCTATAATAGGCCAAAAATGAAGAGAAAGGTATATAACTACAATGTCAACTAACAGATATTCCTTTCGTGAGTGTTAATCAACTTGAAAATGATCTTATTTGTTCTTAGGAAAAGCTGTTTCACTTTTGGTTTAATACATTTTTCGTACGCGAACACGTGTCATCCGAATACGAAAATGGTGAATTACCGATTGAACGATCTACGAGGGCATTGAGCTGCGACGGTACAGCCATGGAATTACCGATGGTCATGTCACACGTTAAGCCTCGAACAGGATCTCTAGCTAGCCTAGGACCCATGCCACCTAACCTTGAATTGATTATAGACAAGTGGGGCTTAGACGACGCACATAAAGACAAACATCATAAAATCTACAGTGCAGATTTTAAAGTAAGTTAATCATTGATCGCGAAACAACATATTTTTTCAATGAATACTTTTTAATACTATTTAATTATTTCAGGTTAGTTTATTTATGCACCGAGTTGGTGGAAGTAATTCGCCGGCTGTGCCAGCGACAACGAATAGATTGGGAGAGGGTGTACAAATAGGAATGGGTGGTCAAGAAACGCCCAGTGAATCCAGTGAAGCAGATAGCAGTGAGTGCGATACAACGGGAGACGAAGATGGTTGGGAATCTGGTGAGTCTTCTGCATCTCTGGTGGTGAATCACCACAATCTTACACACAGCAGTAGCCATACACATGTTAATACCCACCAAAGAATTAGTCTCAGAGAAACAGCTAAAGGTCTACTCTCGCGTGGAGATAAAAGTAGGGGTAGTCCTAGGCAAAGCACTGCTAGTGTAAAACGTTCTTCAACGTTTGTACGTTCATCCACGTTAGATACATAGTCGATTCGCTGCTTTTGGTACTTAAAAACTGAGTTCTTTCAACTGGCATTAAACTTTGCAGATTTATATAATTCCAGTTTTTGGGGTTTTCGAAAGGTTTTGTAGTGTATGTATATATATATATATATATATATATATATGTATATATATACATATATATATATACACAATTGCTCGATAAAAGAGTACAATCTAAAGACATTTATTATTTGACTTTTCCGCACTATTTTCAGCATGAAATGTGGTCAAGCATCTATTCAAAATGTATGATGATTCTTGTTTATTTTGATCATGATTGGAAATTCTTGCAATCCCGTTTTTTATGACACACGCTTTTTATCGATCTTTCATTGAATGATTAGTTTTATTGATTTCTTTTTTTTTTTTTTCTATTAATTTTGTAAATAATAATGAAAAAGTTTCTTGATTAGTTGTAATTAAAAATAGAAGAACAGAAACGATGAATTTGTGCTGATACATATTTATTATATAGGAAAGTTAATACGACAAAGACAATATTCACATCTCGTCTTTGAATTAATAATTTAATCTATCCTTTCGTTTGCGCAGAGCAAAAAATATGATGGTACATATTTAAAAGTATACAAATCTTATCAGAGCACAAAGTTAAAAGTTTTTATTGCACTATTCTATTATATTACTTGCATGTCTTACAATAACTCCTTGCCTTCTTTTTGGGTATTGGATTATTAACAACTATTGATAAGTAATTAAGAATCTATTTTTAATTGATTGTCTTATTGACTATTCTATCTGTTTCTACAGTATTAAGTGTTTAATTCAACTTGTTTTGAAAAATTTTTATTAAATTGCTTTTGAAATTATGAAATAGGATTATTGTGAATAGTCAATCTTTAATGTGGTAGTTCTTGCCCATCAGCAAGTTTGTAATTTCCATGTGACATATTAATATATGATATATAGTACATTTCAATTATGAGATACGATGTTTGTTGAATTTCTTGCTATACGAGTATATAGTAAAATTACAAACATTATCGATTTTATTAGTTTATAAATACAAGATGTCTATATCTATTCAGGCATAGAAATACTTGTCAAATTTAGTTTACTATTTCTATTCAAACATAGAGAGTTGATAATATATTTAAAAGAAAAATAATAATATTATAGGGATGATCGTACTTTGGATATACCAAAGTCTATTTGTGTATAAACTGTTACAAATAATTAAATAATAATAATAATAAGAGTTTGTAAAATAACATTGACAATGATATATATATATATATCAAAAGATTTCTACAATTTTTTTTTTTCTTCTCTATTTTACACAAAAATTTGTCGAAACCATCAGGCTGTGCAATGTTTCAACTTTTATTCCTTAATATCTTCTACAGAACCAAACATTACTTTACTATGAAAATACATTTTATTTAAATAAAAGAAATCTCCTGTATTTCGTATATATTATACATCTTGATAATTGAATCGATGGTGGCACTATAATGTGTTATATTTGGAAATATCTAAGAGATACCTGATAACAAATATGCTAATATAAAAATAATAAGTATCTTCATTGCACATTTCATTATTAAGTTATATATATATATATAGAGAGAGAGAGATATATATATAATTGGTGTTATCAAAAGATAATCTCTGGTTACAAATATTGAACAACACGTATATCTATAAAATACGTGAGTATTTATATAAATACTATAAAATATACAGTTTTAAAAAGCGGTCTTAAAATTGATATTTTATAAATGTTCAAATTTGTGATCATTTAATATTAGAACTTCTATAAACCTGTCTGCAAAGTGAGAACAGGATACAAATTTAATTCTTATTTTGAATTGTATAAATTTAAATTATATTATTGAATTAATAATTTTCGGTTATATATATATATATATATATATACATATATAGGCTGGTGCTTACTTATTTTAAGCAAAAAGTTGAAAAATCAGTTTATAAGGGACCTACAGAACTCAGACTTAACGAAAAACAATTAGAATTTAGTTTATCTACGAGAAATATTAAAAATATATGAATTAATTAAAATCGTCTTTCGTATTGTCTCTACTATATATATATATATATATATATATGTATATGTATATACGAGTATATATATATATATATTTCTCTTTTTAATATATACAAAGATTAAACACAAACACAATTTTAGCGTAGTTTATTGTTAAAAAGCGAAATAATGATGTTTAAGTACTACAGATTGATATAATAAATCAAATACAGTCTGGCTTTAGGGTCTTTATTGGTTGAAAGTAATTTAAATTTCATTCAAGAGCATGTTTCTAAAATGTTGTTTGCATGAATTTATTGTAATGTTGATTTTTCTATTTGGATAAAAGTATAATTGTTATTTGAAATATATATTTATTTTTATTTAATTTTTAATTTTTTTTTATTTTTTTTTTTTATTTATGTAAACGTCTTATTAAAAATATTTTCTTACAGAAAATTAATTTTTTTTTTTTTATGAACTAATTTATATTACGCATTATCTATAAAACAAACAAATACACGCACACACACATAAGGACATATTATTATGTTTCTATATGTCATACAATATGTATCTACAATATATACATATACATATTTCATATTTTTAACGTTATCTTACATGAAAGAAAAAAAAAACATTTTTTGTAATTATATGAGATATATATATATCGAAATGAATCAAACTTTTGTATAAATCAAATGGATAGTACAAAGGTGTATTACATTAATACGTTTTTATTGTTAAAAAAAAAAAAAAAAAAA